CAATTGTAATTTTTTAATTATTTATCTTTTATTACTTAATTTATTTTGTTTATTACTTAATTCAAGCAAATGGTTTTATTATTTTGTTTATTACTTAATTCAAGCAAATGGTTTTATTATTTTGTTTATTACTTAATTCTAGCAAACGGGTTTGTTATTTAGTGAATTTTAATCCCTTGTCTTGTAACGTTTTCTTTTTTAATTAATCGAAGATGATCAAATGACATTAAATTAAAGTAAATGTAAATTAAATTACAAAAACTATTCTTTCATAAACAATAACTACATCAAGCACAACATCAACGGTTACTTGATGACAAAAAAGATGGACATTTTTTTCTACTGTATCTCGTGTTTCTACAATACCCACATCTTTTGTTTTCTCTAGATGTTTATCGAATATCATATCACAATGAATTCAAGTGGATTTTGGACGACCATAGTCCTTCAATAAGGACGGATCTGGTACAATCGAAAACCAATTCTGAACTTCATAGGTCTTTTTCATTACCTATGGGGGGAACTCAAATTTATATACCTTAAACACTTCTGATAGTAGGTATACGGGATCCACAAAATGATTATAATCCTTACGAGTATACAAGCAAGCTGCTATAACATGAGAGCATGGATACTTCAGAGCTTGAAAAAACCCACAGTCGCAACATTTGTCTCATAGATTAACTCTGAACGAGTTAGCTTGAATCCCTTGAAGTGGTAGCGGGATCTCTAGGACATGAAAAAATTCATGGGTTTTAGAGAAGCTTGTTACAGACATTTCATTTGATGCATCAATTCTTTTTTATAGATTTGTAACTAATCTAGTGTGATAGACATGACTGTTTTACATCCATGTTTGAGCTTGTCCCCCGAGTTTCGCAAAAAGCGTTCCTAAACGAAAATATGTCATTTTTACCAAATCAATTATTTGTAAATGACGTGTCCCCTTTAAGGTCGAATTGATTGCCTCAGCCAAGTTGGTCGTCATGTGTCCATATCGATATCCACCATCATATGCATTTGTCCACATTTCTTTATTGATGAGGTTGATGTAATTATATTATTCCTCGTTCTTTTCCATTTATTTGTAAATGACGTGTCCCCTTTGAGGTCGAATTGATTGCCTCAGCCAAGTTGGTCGTCATGTGTCCATATCGATATCCACCATCATATGCATTTGTCCACATTTCTTTATTGATGAGGTTGATGTAATTATATCATTCCTCGTTCTTTTCCCGCAACTCTTGAAGCATGGATTCAAATGTTTGAGGTAGTAGTTCGTAACTTGAGCATCAAATATAGAACTTACTAACTTTGTTTCCATAAAAAATGAAAATGATTGATAAAAAAAAAAAGCATTCTGACGTACCCATGCACACAAGTAATGGGCGCTCATCATTCTTCTTGAATCTTCCATGATAGTTTGCAACAATGTGTCAGATACAATACCTATGTAAGACATAGGGTGGTTACCACATTGGGCCTAAAGAATCCATTGCTGATTTAATCTCAGCTCTGCGATCTGAAATGACACAGATTTTCCCCTCGTGATAACATGTGAGCGTAATTTTAGGAGGAAAAATGACCAAGAATCTGTATTTCTCCTTAAACAAGGGCAAAAGCAACTAGAAGAATGTTGCGATTAACATCTTGGACTACAAATAGTAAAACTTGTATTTTCCATACAAGAATGTCCAGTCGATTTGGACCACGAACTTGGAGTATTTCACAGCTTTAATGCATTATGGGTAAGTCTAAAAAAACTGATAGAATTGGCATCGATCGCGAAGAACTCGATCATTGTGGTATGCATGGTAAGTTTTGAAGTCCATAAGTGTCTCATGATTCAACTGCGCACCACCTAAACCAACTTGGTAGTTCGTTGTAAGATGTATCCTATTCGCCTTGAAGTTTTTTAATGACATTATGTTATGCCTTCCATGCTTTCTTGTATGAGACGGTATACCCATACTACGATTGTATTGCTGAAATCAACACAACAATAGATATATGAGAGCTTGCTTTTACCATGTGCATGATGGCTTGACAGATCATGTCGGAGTCCAAGTTGGGATGATCCTGGTTGATCCCTCCAACACAGCATGTGTGAGGACCGTTGTATATCGTTAGTTCCCATATATTATTTATTCTCTTCCTCTTTGATACTTGAACCATCCAATTGCATCCGTTATCACGTTGGATACAGTGGCAGACATACTTTTCGATGGTAGAGCGGTCGACTCTGGACTGAACATAATTACGAATATTGTAATTCTCAATTGCCATCATCGCTTCTTCTTTGCATGAAATCTCAACTTTATACATGTGTGCTGGAGGTTCAGTGTGTACCACATTTATTGGAACTTCATCTGCATCATCATCATCATCAGAGTCTATGTTGAACTGCGGTGATTCTGGTGAACGAATAGTTCAGTCTCAGCACCATCTGCACCTGGCTCACGAAGAGGTTCTTCTGGTGGAGATGAGGGTTCATCTTCACTGTCGACATTTAGGTCGAACAAGCTGGTAGTTGGATGTCTTCCCTTTGAACTTGAAGGCATCTCGACATTGAAGTCGAATAAGCTCGTAGTTGAATGCCCCTGGAGCTTAAAGGTATCGTTTCAAATGGAAACTGCATAGATTGCTGCGTCGAGGGCATATCTATATTCAGGTCAAAGAAATTGACAGGTGAATGCCTTCCCCTTGAACTGGACGTGATGTTTCTATACAGATTGTTTATGGACCCACCTCGATACAGATCGTAAGGAGTTGCTGATGAATGTCTCACCATTAAACTTGATGGGATGACACCATGATGTGGATTTCCCATTATGACGTTAAAATCATTACACATTATTGTAGTTAGGCTGTCAACTTGATCAGCTAGTTGAGCCAGGTCATAGTGGAAGCATAATGACATACCACGAAAAACACACACTTTAATAAATTTTACATATCTATATCGGCGTCTGAATAATTATTTTAAGAATAAACCATCATTGCAACATCGTCATCGTTTGATAGTTCGAACGCTGTATAAGTTAACAGAAACACTGATGTTGGAAATCCATGCTGAAGCGATGACAGTCTTCTAGTACTTCCAACATGAACCTTCCTTGAAATCTTCGTTATAAGCTCCTCAAGAGTATGTTTCTCTTGAAGGATATTTTAACAGAATGATTTGATGCGAACACAACGCCGGTTTCATCTTCCTGAATTTCTCCATCATAGTAAACAATAGTTGAAATACTTGTCATTATGAGAGTTTGAAAGATTAATAGTCTTATATATGCAAAAATAATAGTTGAAATATACTAATTAAATAAATAATATATGAATTAAAATATTACCTAATAAAAATCTAAAAATATTAACAATAATTTAAATGGTATAATTTTATATTATTATCGTATCATAAAAAATGTCTCGACGTATGATCCCGCTTTCCAATTTTACAACCACAAAAAATAATAGAAAATAATTAGTACAATATTTTTTTTCAAATAATCATATTTAAAATAAATATAATATATTAAAAAAATTACCTTACAACAAAAGATCGAACGAACTGGTTAAGAAAATATAATAGGAATTGATGGGGGTGATGCTTACGGTTGAGGGGTCTTATTTATAGCCGAGGGAAGAGTTTAAAGGCCAGAAATTCAGAAACGATTATAAAAGGAACGGATGGTAGATCGGTAAAAATTTCTAAAACGGTGTCTCACATGTAATTTAATTATTGTCAGTGTGATTTTTGGGTAAAAAAGCTAAATTATTAAATAAAAATATTTTAATATAATATATCTATAATTTATTATAGACATGAAATATAACTTTTTAAACTTCTATAAAGGAAAACGTCGGCTTTTGAGCATAAACAGAGATAATTTCTGAATAAAATTATAACATAAAACCTCTGTTTTGAAAACCGGATCAAATCGGTCGGTTCAACCGGTTTAATCGAGAATCGTTGTTTAGTTCGGTTCAATTTAAACCGGTTGAACCGTTATTAGTGAACCGACCAGAACCGCTGAACCGTTCGAACAGGACCGGCTGAAAGCCGGAAAAAACTGAGAAAAACTGGGATTTTGTTTTTTTAAAAAATTAAACCAAACAACGTCGTTTGTTAAACGAGCCTAGTCGAACTCGAGTATTGCTGAGCTCGACTCGAACTTAAAAACTTTAAAAGTAAGTTCAACTCAACTCAACTCAAACTCACAAGCTAAAAATTATCAAATTCAATTCAAACTCGAAATATAATATTGAAACTTGAACTCAAAAAGACTTGAACTCAAAAAAAAATTAGAAGCTCGATGGAAGCCTAAAATTCGAGCTTGAATGAAGTGAAAGAATAGTTCACTCAATGCTCACCAAAAGACTCCATGATTTTGAATGCCAAATTACCTCTATTATTTATAGAAGTTAGTTGTGATGCGCTTCTATGTTTCTTAGCAATGTGAGATTGTTTTGTTATCATATTTTTACTCTTTAGACTTTTGGGATGTTCTTCTATGTTTCTTAGCCATGTGAGATTGTTTTTAAAAAAAAATTAAACCAAACAATATCATTTTGTTATGATTTTTTTAACCGCAAATTTATTTTTTAATTATAGTTATATAATTATATTATTTAATATGTTTTACCTTAAATATTGTTGTAGTTAATTTGAATCATTTTGTTTCACTTGATTTATGATTTTTTAACTTATATATGTTATGACTTGCTTTGAATATGACTTGTGATATAAAAAATTATTTTTTATTAAATATTTTTTATATTTTTATTTAATTTTTAAATAATTATGACGTCGTCCGGTTCTTCTGACTTGACCGATTCTAAAAACCATGCATAAAACACCATTCACGGGGGCCACCGTGAAGGGATGGTGAGAGGTCCCACCTTCCCCAGGTACTAAAAAAATCCAGAAACGGTTCAGGTTCATGCACCTTCTTCCAGTGCCAAATCAAACATATTTCAGTAATAATGTTGTTTATTTATTTACTTATTCTTTGATTTTTTTCCCTATTTAATTTCTTCTCTCCCAATATATAAATCACTTCTTTGCTTCCTTCTTCAAATTGAACAACAGCAAGCAACAGGCTACAGCCAACAGCAATCAAAGCAATACCCTTCATTTATAATTTCCTTTTGTTTTTTTTTCCTCAAAGCAAAAGGCTGCAGGTTAGTAAAACTAACAGCTTTCATCATTTCTCCAAATTTTACAGTTCCTCCCTTATGTTTGGCTCTGTTCTTCTTTTTCTTGATTGAATTTTAACTTACGCGAAGATTCAATGTGTACGTTTAGATTCTATGTTATTCAGTGCTCGTTTTCCGGTGTTGGATACATTACGTGTCCGCAACGGGTTCGATTTTAAAAGCTTTTTCCATGTATTCGGCGATAGTCATATATATTTTGTTTTTCTTTCTAAGGTAACATTATTTCTTTTTGTAGAATGATACTATCATCTTTGTGAGTATATTTTTGCCAACTTCTGAGTGTGCTGCTTGAAATGGTGATAGTTGACCACCAAGAACTGCAACGATCTGTATGTCAAAAAGGAAGACTTCCTATAATGGATTTAAAACAAGCTTATGATGTTGAACTTATGAGTTCCACTTATAAAATTCAGCATGAACTGTGGCCATTAGATGAAATTGATTCAAGGAATGCAAAGTTCCCTTGCTGTCGAGTTTGGACTCCTCTCCCTGTTGTCTCATGGTTGGCACCCTTCATTGGACTTCTTGGCATTTGCCAGGAGGATGGAGCTATTCTCGACTTTTCAGGATCGAATATTGTGAATGTTGATGAATTCTCTTTCGGTGCCACAGCTCGATATGTTAAACTTGATAGAGAAAAGGTATAGTTTCATGCAGATACTCCAAGTCGAACCTTTTTTACATCTCTTCATGCACACAAAGGCATATACTGTTATTTGAGTTAATTTTTGTCATTAACTACTTTTATTGTTGAACTTGTGTTGCTTTCCTCTGAACATGTCCGTGCATACATGCAAGCAAGGTTACCAGCATTCCGAATACGGGACAGCGGTCACATGGGACGATGCGTTACGGTCGAGTATACGTTATTTTGAGCACAAGAGCTACAACCTCTTCACATGCAACTCACATTCATTTGTTGCAAATTGTCTCAACCGACTCTGCTACAACGGATCGATGGATTGGAACATGCTAACGGTGGCTGCTCTAATACTATTTAAGGGTCATTGGGTCGACAACATGTCAATAATAAGATCTTTCCTCCCTTCCATGGTGGTGCTCTGCCTCGGGTTAGTATTGGTCGGCTGGCCATTCTTGGTTGGATTGTTCCTATTCTCTCTACTCCTCATGGGGTAGTTTGTATTGGGAACTTTCTATCTGAAAACCATTTTGGAATGCTAGAGCAACTGGTCAAAGTTGAAGGTTACTTGATCCAATAATTTATTTTTGAATAATATTACCTTTGGAGCCTAATCTGATCCATAAGGTGAAAGTTAAAGATCACAGGAGAGGGGACGTTTGTTAGATTTGTCACATGAAATCCTCGAATCCGCAGTATATTTTGCCTTTAAAGCAGTGGACCATAACTCCCAACCCCCTACATGTTCCTCTCATTTAACTGGTAATCACAATTTTATTATATATAAATATAAGCAGACATAGATATATGTGCTTCAAGAACAATCTCAACTTGTGTCGGGCAACGAGCTTTGCTTTCTTCTTTTATGTTAATCAGTATTAATATTCTTGGATTTATCTATATTTTGATGCTGATTAACGAGAAACGAAGTAATAATATTTTTTTATAAAAAAAAACAAAGGGTTTAAGATAAGGGTCATAAGACATCACTTTAAAAACGTTGATTCAGATAAACTATTGGATTATTACACAATTTTGGTAGACAAAAGGTTGTTTGCCATGATTTCAAATCAACATATTCATTACCCAAACCTTCGGAGCTGTCGAATACAGATAAGTTCTTCACCAACAAATTGTAATAAAGGAGTAATTAAGATAACAAAGTGCTCGACTAATGACTAATCCATATTTGTTTTTAAGATTTATTAAGATGATAATCGTGTTACTATTAAAGTATTAATCAAAATCACATGATAATGACTAATCCATTTTTGTAATCTCCCCAAAAGAGCAAACCCCAATCACGATGAATAGAATCTCAAGGAAGCTAAAGACAAAGTCCATACCAAATATAGCTATCGTATTGCCTAACTTGTATAATTTAGAAGTAAGCACATTTTTTAATAGGGAAGGACAAAAGCTCAAACTACTCACTTGGTTGGTTCAAAAGTCCAATGTCCCCAAAGGGCATATCTCCCCAACAAAAACATAGATATGGTTCAAATTTTGATTTTGGTCCTACTATGCTCAAACTCTATATTTTTATAATGTCACTGATTAATTTAAATAGTTAAAACCATTAATTATTCAACTTAATATTAATTTAAATAGTTAAAATCATTAATTATTCAACTTAAAATATTTATATATTTTTAAGACTATTAAAAGATAAGTAATCAAATTATACCTCGTGCTTGTTTTAGGTGTCGAATTTTATTTTTCTAGTCAAAGTGGTGTCTAACATTTATTTCATCACTATTTAAGATTCCTAACTGTTAACGACAATTGAAAAATTTGTTATCCAATCAATCCTTGACATGTAACATGATTTTTAAGTTTTTTTTATTTTTCTTTTTTAAAATACTAAATTCATTAATTTTCTAACCCCTAAACTTCTTAAATTATTCAAATCCCTAAATCTCCTAAATTGATAAACCCCAAATCTCTAAATTTCATATGACACTGTAAAATCAACCACCACAGCCCACATTTTCTAACGTCGAACTCCCACCAGTCGTCACCCCCTTCCTATCGTATGTCGTACCCCAAAATAGAATAATCGCAACACTTATTCATTAACCTCATCGAACGAGATCAATTTTTTTCTCCAGTACCCATGGACGCAACGGAAACGCCCCCTCATGGCCTATCCAAAGAAGACTATTCCGAGCTGAAGCCCCTCATTCAAACATACCACAAATTCGAACCGATCCCCAACACATGCACGTCGCTAATAACGCAACGCATCGACGCCCCGGTTCGAACCGTGTGGCCATTCATCCGGAGCTTCGAAAAGCCCCAGAAATACAAGCACTTCATCAAGAGCTGCAACATGTGCGGCGACGGAGGCGTCGGTAGCATCAGGGAAGTCACCGTCATTTCGGGCCTTCCCGCATCGACGAGCACCGAGAGGCTTGAGATTCTGGACGACGAGAAGCATATACTAAGCTTTCGGGTGGTGGGAGGCGAGCACAGGCTGAGGAACTACAGGTCGGTCACCTCGGTGAATGAGTTCCATAAAGAAGGGAAAGTGTACACCATCGTTTTGGAGTCCTATACAGTGGATATACCAGAAGGGAACACCGGGGAAGATACAAAGATGTTTGTGGACACAGTAGTGAAGTTGAATCTGCAGAAGCTTGCGGTTATTGCAATGGCTTCTCTTCGTGGACATGATCATTGATCAGATATTTTGAGAAGAAGATGGGTAAGATTCTCTTTGGAAACGATGGTCAATCTAGATTTTGAGAAGTTGGATTTGTTCTTTTTGTTATTTGATTATTAGTGGGGTTTGGGGATTGGTTTGTATATCTTAGTTCCTGTTGGGTGATGAATATTTGAGCTATATTATTTTAATCTCTAATAATTGATTAAAAAACCATTCATCTTTCATTTTTGTTATAATTAAACGTCGAGAAGAAAAGCTGAAATTTCGTCCTAAAAATTATATAAATAAAGATAATCTTGGTGTATGAGTCTATTCTGATGATGGTATTGATGTTGAAAATATAATTTCTAATGATGCATAGTATTACATTTTCATTAGCTCTAATCTCTTGTTTATAATAGTGTGATGATGCACGAATCAAGTGATCTTATTGGTTAAAGAATTATTATTATTATTATTTGAGATTTTGAGTTCGAGCACCCTATACATCATAGATATGTGCATTTAATATCAAATGGTTGAAGTCTTTGATCAAACATTACTTTGTACTTATCTCATATTAATAAAAATATTTTTTAAATATTTTAATTAAATACATTTTATCTATTTTCTTTCATATTTTAAGAAAATGAAAACAAAAATAGCTTTTGAAATCAAAATTTTTAGGTATAAAAATAAGTTTTCACTGTTTATAAGTTAAATATATATTCATAAAAGGAATGATATATGTTTTTTTGAACAATTCCTATTTAGAAGAAGAGGAAAAAAAATTATTTCTAAGAGCTTTTAATCCCTTGTTCTATAAGTTGTTGACGTGGAATAATTCCATATGTAATTCGATTGATTATATTAAAGAATCATTAAATAACTTGGAAGATTCGAGGGAGGGGTTTGAACTTTGAAGAAGAAAGTTGTTTATTGTTTCCCTTTGAATCTTTTTATTACGTGAAAATTGATTTTTTAAATATATAAAAATGATAAATTAAATATTTTTTAATAGCTTAGGATGATAATAAGGTAGTTTAGGATGGTTGTTTCCCTATGATAATGTATACATACTCTACAGACATAATTTTTTGAACTCAATATCTTTATAAAGAACACTATTTCCTTTACCCACATCAAATATATATCTATATCCATCGCACACTTGAAATCCATATAAGTTATAGATGTAATTAGTCGTATACACTAAAACCAATGAATCATGTGGTGGTTTTTCTTGAAAATGATAGAAAATCTTGAAGATCATGGGGTTTAAAGAAGAGAAAGTTAAGATGGTGAATAAAACATCTTCGTGTGGTTCCAATGTGGTGGAAAAAAGTCAAACATATCACCTTTCCTTGGTGCAAAGTTTTGAGCAAACTTCAAGGGACATGTGACTATGAAATCAATCCCATTAAAATACTCGTTTTCTTTTTCTCAAACCACAATCTTAGCCAATTAGAGCTATTCATATGTGTGTGTCAATAGCAGAAATAAAGCTTGTGGATGTATTTCATAATGAAATCCATAACCTTTTATTTTCCGTGATCACATCACTTTATTTTGATAAGGGCAAGTCTAGAAAAATAGAGGAGACAGATAAGCTTATTTTTTCTTTCTCTTTTCTCTTAAGACTCCAAGAGAAAATAATACTCCCTTTAACCATGGGATCATTTAATAAATTTTTTTTACCTAAAAAATATAGAGAGAAAGATGAGTTAAAAAATTAAAGGTGACGAACCTACTTAGCATGTGTTGATCAAGTGGGTCGGCTAGCATGTTATTATTTGTCGGCCGGTCTACCTTAATCCAGTAGGCTTACTTTGTAATAATTGGGCCTTAGGCTAATAAAGTATTGTCGCTTGAACCATTACTTCATAGTTTCTCCGAGTTTGATCTCTTATATAACATTCAAAAAGAATTTGAGACAATTAGGATAAGTAAAAAAACAAATTATACTAGGTGAATACCTTGAAAGATAGGAGAACATTGCACTAGCCACTAGAGGAAATCGGTAATGAACAATTTTGGACTGACTATAACATAAATATACTAGTGGTGTTTTTTTTCATGATTGAATCATTGATGAGAACACAATTAAATCACTTTACATATGATAAAGATTTCTTTCTGTTTATGTTTGATAATCTTTCTCCCTTGGAAATTTTTGTTGAAACAAGTACAGTGCAAAGCTTTCAATACATGTGTAAAGCGTCGGAAGAAATAAATGGTTCAATATGGATAAGATTTTCCCTTTCGTTTTAATGTGAGAAAGTTTCTCTCTGTTCAATGAATCTCTGTCTATTACGTTCTGAGTAAAAGCTTGAGATGGCTGAGTTGAAGGTTTTCGTCGGCAAAAATGACGACTACTGCTTTAATTGCTGTAAAAACGAGGATCTCATTCAGTCATTTGTTGTAGCGTTGGGGTATTAACAGGAAACAAAATTCTTCACAATCAATCACTGTAGAAAGCTATCTCGTACGAAAAAAACGGTGCCAAATAAATCGAATTAATGCACCACATCAGCATTCTATCACTGCCAATAACCACAGTTAATTGCAAGTGATTAATTTATTACGAATTGATAATATCAATAATCAAATCAATAATTTTAAAATATCAATGAAAAAAAGGAATTTAATTAAACACAAGTGACCATTTGCATAGTTTACCTGTCTTTTTATTGGCGCTACTTATGTTCACACCCCACCGTCTATTCAATCTAGGGTTTATTTTTTGTTCTCTTACAAATTGCGAATCACGGGACTCTCGAGGTCCCGAAGCCCGCCGCAAGGAATGCAAATACGATGGCCAGTCATCAACTTCTTCAGTAATAGGAGGCAACGAGATGGCCAAGCAGTGAGTTCAGAAGATTGTCGCTAGCTTTATTCTATCCATCGCCTCCCCTGGCGGTGAACCTAAGCGTCCTTGGTTTGGAAACGGCTTTTCCGGTGGTTTCTAATTTACTCTTGTTCTTTCTATTTTTCCTCATCGAGGCTCGTATTATTGCATACTTGAAATTGATGGATATGATGGCTTAAAAGTAAAAGGTCTGAGCAAGGAAGCTTATGGTGGTAGTCTGATAATGGTGTCAAAGTTAGAAAGGGAGAAAGGGAGAAAGGGAGAGGGCCCCAGTTCTTGCTTCAAGTGATTGCATTGCGGACTCTCGCAACCTCTCCTACAACAATCAAAGCCTGTGCTTTTAATAAGCATTGGCTGCGGGTTGAAATGAAAGGCGTGGGCTGCGTTTTTAGTATTAAACGCTGGCCTAGACTTCTCCCAACATTCGTTTATTTTCCCTTTTAGCTTTAACATTTGTCATCTGCCCTATTGCTCCCTTGCGTTGATCAAACCTTCTCTGCTGATCCATTTTATTTGTTTACAATTACCCTTGTCTCTGTTTTTACTTATTTGCTCCTTATTGACGATTTGAACTTGTTATGATGTGCATGTTTTCTGAATTTGATGCTGGTTGAACGTGGTTGATTATGTCGAGCATCGCATAATGGATGAACAGGAAGGCATTCACGATGAATGGCATTGGGGCATCGCAACTCCTATTTTGGTTAGAATGTATTGTTTGACATTCGTAGTGGAAATATTACTATAATCAAGTGTCGACAAGAACAGCTTTTGATATGCGTGTTCAATATCTGTGTTTTTTTTTTGTCTGAACATAAGATTTTCTGTTCTGTAAGAAGAATTAAAATGGAGAATCCATTTGTTTCAACGATCCTCTCATGATGAGTTAATACAGTTCTCTTTTAAGATGTATGATGTTTTGTGTGGTTGAGGAAACAGAGTTCTTACACTTTCCTGACCGTAAAGCAACCATTTAACGGGATTGTCTAAGGAAATAATGACTAATATATGATGTTACCGGATATATTAAAAGATATTTAATAAATTTGATTTAGCGCTATTTTAAATATCGAGTAATAATAATGTAATAGGTGGAAATCATGAATAAATATTAAAAAATTTGGCAATCGGCAAACTTAGCTTGTCGGTTTGTATCGATATTTTATAAAAATATATTGATCCATAACAATATAACAGGTAAAAAAATGACAAAACTGATCTATAAATGACAAAACATGTAAAGAGCTACCGGATATATTGAAAATATCGATACTTTATAAAAATGTATCGATCTATAACAATATAACAGGTAAAAAAATGACAAAATCAGTCTATAAATGACAAAACAGGTAAAACGCTACCGGATATATTGAAAGTGTCGATACTTTATAAAAATGTATCGATCCATAACAATATAACAGTTAAAAATATGACAAAACCGGTCTCGAAATGACAACCGGTAAAGAGCTACCGAATATGTTGAAAGTGTCGATACTTTATTATAAGTATCGACACTTTTGGTCTCAACGCAAACTTATGATATATTCTTATTATCTCTATACGATAAAGTTATGTCAGTTTTAGTTAGGATTTTGTGTCATTGAAACTGTTGATTGAAGAACTCAAACTGGTGCACACATAAGTGTTGATGCATTTATGAAAAATATAGATCCAAAAAAAATCGAAATCTCTAATTATTATGTAACAGGTAAATTTACAATCTAACCGGTAAAAATATACTGGTTAATTAGCAAATAGGTTTACATTATGTATCGACACTCTTTAAATATGTGTCAATACTTTTTTCCCAAAATGAAAGCACAACGAGGTGCACGCATAAAGTGTCAATACATTTAAAATTGTATCAATCCCAAAAACATCAAAACCGATAATTATAATGTAATAAGTAAATTTGTAATATTACCGGTTTAAATATACATGTTTAGTTAGAAAATAGGTTAATATAAGCGCTATATATTACATTATATAAACACTACCTAATACATTATTGTACTTGATAATATTTCCGGTTAAATGATATAATTTTAATCGATCACTTGTTTAACAAGTCACGCCGTTTTTTAGACGCCGCACACCATAAGTTCCCCTATTTAACCCATATTTTGGTTGTTGTAAAATGCCCCGTGAAATGTAATTTCTTCTATATTTTTTCGATTTTTAACACATGATTATGAACCTAAACATTGGAAGATCTGGATGGTAACGAAATCGTTTATATATCATGTTGTTGACTATAAAATCATCGAGACAGTTTT